TCGCAAGCCTGCAGCGCTCAAACAGAGTCCCATAAAGCCGGCCCGAATTGAATCATGAGCACGATGAAAGAAAGAAAAGCGCCACTGTTTTCTGTTTCAAAGGAGAAAGCTTTGAAGAGCACAGTCTCGCCTGCAGATCTGGCGGGAGGCATGGGGACTGCACCCCCGTTCCCTGGGGTCCACGACAGGGCGGGCGGGCCAGAGTCACGGTCACATAGAACCTTCCCCACCCACGGCCACAGGTTCAGTGACATAGGCCCGATGCTCAGCAACTTGAGACTGAAGAACAGGCTGGCTAGGGCTTCCAGAAGCTTCTGGAAGAGTCACAAAGGCCCCCACGCCACCCCCTGCCAGAAATACGCTGATGGGAGAATACTGCCAGCCTCCACGCCAACACGCTGGTTCTACTCAGGGCAGGGGTGGCCGACAAAGTCGCCAGATAGGAAAAAATGTGCTGCCAACCACAGGAGCAGCAGGAGAGGGGGGTAGTCCAGTGGGGAGGACATTTGTCTTGCACACGGCCCTCCCAGGTTCGCTCCCCGGCATCCCATTTACACTGCTCCCCCCAGCACTGCCAGGAGTGATTCCTGAGTGTGGAATCAGGAGTAACCCCTAAGCATCTCAGGGTATGCTGCCCACCTCCAACCCCTGGCCAAATAAAAACAGAGAGCTTTAACCTCAGAAAACACACAATAAACATGGCAGATGGGCATCTCAGGCATTAATGACAGACATGCCCCAACACTGACCAACCAGGACGTGCCCAGTCGCTGGTCAAAGGACCCAGATTCTTTGTTCGCTGGTTCCGTGGAAGCCAACATGACTGAGCCACACCCCTCACTGTTCAGGGTGATCAATGCTCGGGTTGGGGGTTCACAGATTCTGGTTGATCTCCACACTGACAGCCGATCCCAAGCTGAGCCACCTCGAGGCCGCCTCTGGGGGAAAATGTCCGGCCAGACCTACGGGGTTCTTAATATGAGCTGGGATTTGCAGGACCCCCAAAACTGACACGGACCCTGGAAGAGTCCAAGGGCAGAGTGAAACTCTGCTGTCCTGTGCGTGGTCCCTGGGATCAGAACCAGAACCAGAAAACAGTCACTGAAGTCTGATGGCGCTGTTAATGAGCGCCTTCCAAGGGGATTTTCAAACTTTTTCCCTGGGAGTTTTGGGGGCAGGAGGGAGGGAAGCCTCAGAGCTCCATCTGTGGGGCTGGCGGTTATGACCACGGTCGTAAGGTTGTCCCCCCCCCCCCCCACCTCCACGCCCTGGTTTCTGGGCCATGCCCAGCAGTACTCAGGGGTTATTCCTGGCTCAGCACTTAGAAATTACTTCTGGAGGTGCTCGGGGAACCCTACAGGGGGTGCCAGAGATTGAACCAGGGTCGGCTGTGTGCAAGACGAGTGCCCTCCCCACTGGACTATTGCTCCAGCCCCCTGGGTCCTTTTGCTGTTGCTGTTGTTGGTATGTAGGCTTCACCCAGAGATTCCCAGGGGTGACTCCTGGCTCTGTGCTCAGGAATTGGCCCTCGGGGCACCCTATGGGGTGCTGGGTATTGAACCTGGGTCAGCAGCACACAAGCAATTGCTTCTCCCGCTGTGCTATAGCTCTGGCCCCAAATGCCCTGGGTTCTTACTACCTACCCAATGCTCAGAGTGCTGCCACGCTCCTGTTTTCACCGAGACGGAGCCCACGGGCCCCTCACACACACCCCTGAACAGCATGAACCGGACGAGCGCTGTGAGCAAGGCCCGTGCTGGACAGGCCAGGCAGACGGAGCCGCTGGACTGCAAAAGCCTCCCTGCCGCATGCAGGAAGCACCCCAGAAATTGAGACAGCACCCCAGTAAATGAGCAGCACCCCAGTAATCGATACAGCATCCCAAATAGTGGGAAGCACCCCAGGAAGTGGGAAGCAATCCAGCAATTGAGACTGTACCCCAGTAGCTAAGACAGCACCCTACTAAGTGGGAAGCAGCCTAGTACGCAGGGAATACTCCAGTAATCAAGACAGCACCCCAGTAATTGAGACAGGACCCCAGTAATCAAGACTGCACCTCAGTAATCAAGACGGCATCCCAGTAAGTGGGAACTAGCCTAGTAAGCAGGAAACACCCAGTAATCAAGACAGCACCCCCAGCAAACAGAAAGCACTCCAGTAATTGAGGCAGCACCCCAGGAAGCGGGTAGCACCCCAGTAATAGATATAGCACCCCAGTAATCGAGACAGCACCCCAGGAATCAGAAAGTACTCCAGGAATTGATACAGCACCCCAGTAAGTGGGAAGCACCCCAGCAATTGAGACTGAACCCCAGTAGCCAAGATAGCACCCAACTAAGTGGGAAGCAGCCTAGTAAGCAGGGACCACTCCAGTAATCAAGACAGCACCCCAGTAATTGAGACTGCTCCCCAGTAAACAGGAGGCACACCAGGAAGCAGGAAGCACCACAGTCATCAAGACAGCACCCCCACAATCGAGACAGTACCCCAGTAACCGAGACTGCACCTCAGTAATCAAGACAGCATCCCAGTAAGTAGGAACCAGCCTTATAAGCAGGAAACACCCCAGTAATTGAGACCGCACCCCAGTAAACAGAAAGTACCCCAGGAAGCAGGAAGCACCTCAGTAATCAAGACAGCATCCTAGGAAGTAGAAAGCACCCAGTCATCAAGATAGCACCCCAGTAAGTGGGAAGCACCCTGGTAAGTGAGAAGTACTCCAGTAATCGAGACAGCACCCCAGTAATTGAGACAGCAACTTACTAAGCAGGAAGCACTCCAGTCATTGAGATAACACCCCAGTAAGCAGGAAGCACCCATCATCGAGAAAGCACCCCAGTAACTGTAACGAGCGAGGTACCTTCCCCACTAACCAGGACAGCCATCCTCTCCTTGAGAAACGGCTCTGGCCTTCTAGTTCCTTCCGTGCCCAGGCAGCCAGCCATGGGCCTCATTCTGCGTGGCTTCGTGAAGTCAGGAAACACATGCGAGAAGCCACCTCTGCCTCCGACAACACGGGCGCTGGGCACAGGAGAATGAGCCGTGGGGCTCAGGCAAGGCAAACCCCCTCCCCACTGTCCTATTGCTCTGGCCCTAATGCAATGTCCACCTGCACCCCTCTTGGTGGTGGACAGGGGGTACAGGGGAGCAGTGCCCGACGCTTCCACACCCACGGACCACAATGCTTCTCTGGCATCGTCTTGGCTTCCCTCACATTCCCTGCCAACACCCCCGTCCTGCCGCATCCCCCCCAACCCCAGCCCCACACACACAGACCACGGACTCAATCTTCTTTATGGGTTCACTGCTGCCAAGTTATTATCCATCGGACAGAACTACAGTCTGAAAAGGATCCGTTTCCAGGGGGCGGGAAACTCTTTGAACTCACCAGCAAAGCCCAATTTCGGCATTAGCTCTGCTGGGCACGCCAGCATTATCCTCAGGCCCTGAGCACTTGCTTGGCTATCACTCTGCAAACTCTTAGGCTCCCCCGAGGACAGGACAGGGCCGATGCCATCAGACCGTTGCCTGAACATCACAGGGGCACCGAGGTCCCCCCAATGTGCTCCACTGACAAATATTCCCTTACCAGCCTGCTAGGGGTGGGGGAAGCGGGCTCGAGAAGACCCAGATAACTGTCAGTGCAGCCCGCCAGGTCTGACTTTGACCAACCTCCCCCTCCCCCCCCCCCCCACCCTCTGCAGCCCACGCACTGTCCCACCCAGCCTCCTGCCGTCAGGGACTATGACAACTTCCTGCAAGGGGAAAAACCAAAGAGGCTCAAACAGGGCCACCCCCCAGCAGACGCACAAATTCCCACAGAAGGGCCACTCATTCCACTTAGTTTTTCGCACCCTACCCACTCACTGGCCAGAACCCGGGAATGTTCTAGAAGGATTTCCACAGGCTCCATCCCTCCCTCATCCCTGTAGTTAAGGGGCGCCAACTCTGTCTTGCCAGTCTCTTGGCCTCTTTGTCTTCATTCTGCCCAAGCTGTCAGCGGGACACGGGCAATACAACTGGTGAGGTGTGGAGTGTGTGTGTGTCTGTGTGTGTGTATAGAGATGGGGACACAGGCAATACAGCTGGTGTGCCGTGGAGAGTGTGTGTGTATGTATCTGTGTGTGTGTGTCTGTGTAGGGATGGGGACACAGACAATACAGCTGGTGCAGCATTGAGTGCATATGTCTGTGTGTGTCTGTGAGTGTATGTGTCTGTGTGTATCTGTGTGTATCTGTGTGTGTGTGTGGAGAGATGGGGACATGGGCTATATAGCTGGTGCGGTGTGGAGTGTGTGTCTGTGTGTCTGTTGTGTCTGTGTAGAGTGTGTGTTGTGTGTCTGTTGTGTCTGTGTATGAATGTCTGTCTGTGTCTGTGTGTATCTGTGTGTGTGTGTAGAGATGGAGACACAGGCAATACAGCTGGTGTGCCATGGAGTGTGTGTGTGTATGTATCTGTGTGTGTGTGTGTGTGTGTGTAGATGGGGACATGGGCAACATAGTTGGTGCAGCATGGAGTGTGTGTGTCTGTGTCTGTGTGTGTCTCTGTGAGTGTATGTGTCTGTGCGTATCTGTGTGTGTCTGTGTGTATTTGTGTGTGTGTGGAGAGATGGGGACACGGGATATACAGCTGGTGCGGCGTGGAGTGTATGTGTGTCTGTGTGTGTGTCTGTTGTGTCTGTGTGTGAATGTCTGTGTCTGTGTGTATCTGTGTGTATGTATCTGTGTGTATGTATATGTGTGTGTGTGTGTGTGTAGAGATGGGGACATGGGCAATACTACTGCTGGTGCGGTATGGAGTGTGTGTCTGTGTGTGTGTGTCTGTGTGTGTCTGTGTATGTGTCTTTGTGTATCTGTGTGTGTTTGTGTGTGTATCTGTGTAAGTGTCTGTTTGTATCTGTGTGTGTCTCTGTGTGTGTGTCTGCGTGTGTCTCTACGTGTGTGTGTATGTGTGTGGAGTCAAGGGCAGGGGAGCAGGGCGGAGCCCCACGGGTGACTTACGATCGTGAAGTTCATGACTTTCAGGATCCAGATGGTCATGGCCAGGTTCACCAGGATGAGGATCATGAGGAGCAGGACGAAGAAGTAGAGGCAGCGCTTCCTCCAGCCATAGATGCCCACCTTGTAGACGTGCGGGCCCTCGCCGGGCAGGGCGCTGCGGCTGTGCGGGTACTGCTCCAGGGGCATCTGGAGGGGAGGAGAGAGCGGCCCGTTACCTGGGTGCAAGAGCGGGGAATGGCCGAGGGGAGCCAGGGTGTCCCCCGTGACCCCGGAAAACCAAGCCGTGCCTGGCAGAACTGTGTCCCCTGACAGAGTGTGTCCCCCTCAGAGCCATGTTCCCCGATAGCTGCGTACCTCCCAGAGTCATGTCCCCTGACAGAGCGTGTCCCCCTCAGAGCTGTGTCTCCCACAGAGCTATGGCCCTCACAGAATGTTTCCCCCACAGTCATGCCCCCCACAGAGCATGTCCCCTGACAGAGACATGTCCCCACAGAATGCGTCCCCTGACAGAGCATATCCGCCACAGAGCCATGTTCCCCAATAGCTACGTACCTCCCAGAGTCATGTCCCCTGACAGAGCCATTTCCTCCACAGAGTTGTGTCTCCCCCCTACCAGAGCATGTCCCCCACAGAGCATGCCCCCGACAGAGCCGTCTCCTTCTGTCACACACACATAAACCACAGATACACACAGACACAGACATTCACACACACAGACACAACAGACACACACACAGACACACAAACACACACACTCCACGCCGCACCAGCTGTATAGTCTGTGTCCCCATCTCTCCACACACACACAGATACACACAGACACAGACAGACATTGACACACAGACACAACAGACACACCAGACACAGACAGAAATTCACACACAGATCACACAGACACACACAGATACGCAGAGACACATACACTCACAGACATATCCCCCATAGAGTGTGTCCACCATAGAGTCATGTCTCCCTTGAGCGTGTTCCCCACAGAGCTGTGAACCCCAATAGCCTTATCCCCCCTGAGCCGTGTTCCCTGACAGAGCTGTGTCCCCCAACAGCCATGTCCCTGACAGCTTTGTCACCCCCCAAGCCAAGTCCCGACAGAGCCATGACCCCACAGAGCATGTCCCCTCCAGAGCCATGTCCCCTGACTGCCATGTCCTCCCAGAGCCATGTCTCCTGACAGAGTTGTGTCCCCCACAGAGTCACATCTCCTCCCAGAGCATGTTCCCTGACACCACTCCACAGAGTAGTGTCCCCCCAGGGCATGTCCCCTGCAGAGCGTGTCTCCACAGAGCATGTCACCCAACAGTCTTGCGCCCCCCCAGAGTTGTGTCCCTGACACTTGTATCCCCCCAGAGCCATGTCTTCTGACAGAGCCATGTCCCCCCCCAGAGTGTGTCCCCACAAAGCTGTGTCCCCCTCAAGAACCGTATCCCCCCAGAGTGTGTCCCCACAGAGCTGTGTCCCCTTCAAGAACCGTATCCCCCACAGAGTGTGTCCCCACAGAGCCATGTCCCCACAGTGTGTCCCCAAAAAGCTGTGTCCCCACAAAGTGTGTCCCCCACAGAGCCGTGTCCCCCCAAGAACTGTATCCTACACAGAGTGTCCCCACAGAACCATATCCCCCCCCAGAGTGTGTCCTCTACAGAGCCATATCCTCCCCAGTCATGTCTCCTGACAGAACTACAACCCCCCACAGAGACGTATCCTCCCCACACACAGAGCATGTCCCCTGACAGAGACATGTCACCCCCAGAACCATGTCCCCCTAGAGTTGTGTCCCCCACAGACCCCCTGAGCACTGCTAGGGTGCACCCCGCTAAGTACAGACTCATAGCGAGATTCCCCATCAGGGCAAATTCTACAGCTCAAGACCCCGGTGTGCAGCTCAGCTGGGCAGTGGAGACAAACTCCGAGCTGACCTGCAAGGACTCCCGTGGTGTGTGGCAGAGTCCAGGGGCGTGCTGGGTAACCTGATCCTCACAGACACCGTGTCCCACCCGCTGGGAGCGAATCCTAAGATCCAGGCTGGGCAGCCTGCACCCGCACTCCATATAAGGCATTCCTCTTGGCCAGCGGAGGCTTGGCACCTCATGGAGGCCACTGGAACCAACTCATCACTTTCGCTTTGGATGTTCCAATCCACACTTTTTTTTCCTGGTTCCCCCCACTCCCAAAACCCAGCCTAAAAAGGCAACACCACCCAGTTTCTGTGCTGTGCTCCAGAATGGGGTCACCGCTGGAGAACTGAGTTCTCCAGTGAGTGTGACCCTGTGCTTGTTTGCTGAGAATGGGGATGAGGCAAATATTTTTCCCCCCAAGCAGCTCGACTAGACGCGTGCGTGGATAGAGGACTCACCCGAGAGATGAGTTAGGGCAGCGGCATCCAGTAGAGCCGGTGGGCAGAGGGGGCACAGTGGGGGCGGTAGAAGGGCACTGTATCACAGTGGGAAGTGAGCAGAGGCTCAGGGCCGGGACAGCTGAGCATGCAGTTCCCGCCTCTCTCCGAGGGGTCCCAGAGTACCAGAAGCTCTTTGGGGAGGAAAAGATGGCAGTGGGGCTGTCACGAGTGGGAGGGGACAGTGACCAGGAGGTGCTGGTGGCCAGGACCAGGGTGGTGGGGCTGGCGGGGAGCAAGGAGGCAGGGCTGTGTGAAGCATCACAGGCAGAGGTTGAGGGGCAGGAGGAGAAGGTGCTGGATTCAGGCATCTATAGGAGACGTGTGGGGTGGGCCAGGAGGAACGCCATGTGCTGACGAGGCACCAGGAGAGGCGTCTGGAATTCAGGGCCAGGTCGGCGTCAGGGTGCCTGTGGGAGCAAACGAACTTCCAACCCCAGAGGAGGCGGTGTCCGAGTCTCTGTGTCCCCAGCAGGGTATCAAGGAACCAAATCATGGGTCAGGTATGAATGGGCCCTCACATCTCACTACAGATGTTCCAGGTCTCCAAGGGGAGGGGTGTTTGGGTGTCAGGGTGGATGGGGTGGCTGAGACCCTCGGGCTCTGCTTATCCATGGGGCAGGGGCCTGCTGAGCTATTTCAGGGCACACACGTGGGCTACACACGTGGACACACACATGTATACACCCAAGACATAAGCAAGCATCTTCACGTGCGCTCAGACACAGAACACATATACGCGTACACATACAGACACAGAAATGCACCGATACACACCCAGACACACCCATATACAAATGCACACGTGCATGCCCGTTAGAGAAATGCACACATACACACACATGCACAGTGCACATAGAAACAGACACACACTCAACCCACATACAAATGAACACACAGGGGCCAGAGTGACAGTACAGTGGGAAGGACATTTGCTTTGCACAGGACTGATCCCCGGCATCCCGTGGGGTCCCCCGAGCACCGCCAGGAGTAATTCCTGAGTGCAGAGACAGGAGTAAGCCCTGAGCATTGCCGGGTGTGACCCCAAAACCAAAATGATGATGATGATGATGAAGATGATGGGGCTGGAGTGATAGTACAGTGGGTAGGGCATTTGCCTTGCACGCAGCCGACCCGGGTTCAATTACCAGCATCCCATAGGATCCCCTGAGCACCGCCAGGAGGAATTCCTGAGTGCAGAGCCAGAGTAAGCCCTGAGCATCGCTGGACATGACTCAAAAGGCCAAAAGCAAAAGCCCCACAAACGCACACACACATACCCATAGACAAATACACACATACGCCCATACATCTACACATGTGCAAACACATTACATAGATGCACGCACACACACACACACAAACACACACACACGCACGCATCAATTCTGGGTGCATACGGCAGCACTCTCAGATCCACGGGCACCCCAAGAGCTGGGAGCATGAAAATCAATCCCGGGGAGCTGAAGTGATAGTACAGTGGGTAGGGTGTTTGCCTTGCACGCAGCCGACCCGGGTTCGATTCCCAGCATCCCATAGGGTCCCCTGAGCACCGCCAGGAGTGATTCCTGAGTGCAGAGCCAGGATTAACCCCTGTGCGTCATTGGGTGTGACCCAAAAAGAAAAAAAAATCAACCCTGGGTTTCCTTAGGGAATTCACTGAGGTGCTGAGGTAGGCGGGCATGAAGATCCCACATGATGACCCCACAGACGCTCCTCCAAACCCCAGTCAGGCTCTGGGGCTGCCTCATTCCTGAGGCCATCAGCAGATAGACCCACCCTGGCCCAGGCTCCCGAAAAGGAAAGAAAGCGAAGGAGACAAATGGGTCCCCACAGGCGTCTCTCCCGGCGCCACCTCAGGAGTCAGGACTGAGGCGGGCCCTGCCGCACCTGCCCCCTTCACTCACCCGCTGCTGGGACAAACACGGGCTAAAAATAAGCCCCGGGCGGCGTCGCTGGCCACTCACACACTGCTGTGACCCCAGATGCCATTCCTGCCCAGCGCAGCTCTCACGTGCCAGGGGGGCGGCAGCGCCCACGGCCGGGTGGGGAGAGGGAGGAGCTGAATTCCCAGGGGTCCCGCCTTCCCGGATCGAGCAGGGGCTCCGTGCACCCTGAACCCAGGCCTGGCCCCCTCCTGCCCCCCTGGGGCCACTCTCTGTTCCAGGGCCAGAGCCCCTAGTTCTCACCCCACCTCCAGCTCCGGCGCTTTCCAGCCCACCCAGGAAGGCCCCCCTGGGGGCTGCCCTTTCCACTTTGATGCTGGACGGCATGAAGCTTGGCCACCTGCTATTTGCTGGGGCGGCTGGAGGCTGGACTCCTGCCCTGCACCCTTCCAGCATAGGCCCGGCAACCACGGGAGCTGGGGATGCTCACAGTGGGGAGGGGGCTCCCCTGTCCAGAGGGACCCCGAGGAGGGAAGGCCAGACTCTCTGGGTGCTTCTAAGGTGCCTCGGGCCACACTGTGGGGAGCCAACATGTCCCCGAAGTGCCTGTTCTGACCTCAGTTGCACCCCTGCAGCCGCCCAAGCCTCCCACCCCATCCAGACCCCGGAGGCCAGGGGGAGCAGGGAAGGACGCACCTGTGAACTGGCTCAGAAAGTGAAATCATTGGGGGAGGGGGAGAGGGAGGAAGAAGGTGGGAGGGAGGGAGAGAGAGAATGAGGGAGGGAGAGGAAGGGAGAGAGAGAGGGAAAGAGGGAGGGAGAGAATGAGGGAGGGAGAGAAAGGGATGGAGAGAATGAGGGAGGAAGAGGAAGGGGGAGAGAAAGGGACAGAGTGG